AGCGAGCGGAACATTCAGACCTTGGAGGATATGTTGCGGGCGTGCATCCTAGACTTCGGTGGTAGTTGGGATACCTATCTTCCATTGGCAGAGTTCTCTTATAACAATAGCTACCATGCCAGTATTGATCGGCCTCCCTTTGAGATGCTTTATGGGAGGAAGTGCATAACCCCGATATGTTGGGGTGAGGTGGGAGTAGGACAGAGGGTCATGGGGAGTACCGAAGTGGTACTCAAGATGACGGAGAAGATCCAGCAGGTCCGGAGTAGACTCTAGACGGCCCAGAGTCGGCAGAAGATCTACGCCGACAGACGTCGATCGGACTTGGAGTTTCAGGTCGGGGATATGGTCCTTCTGAAGGTGTCACCTTGGAGAGGTGTCATCCGCTTCAGAAAACAGGGCAATCTGGGCCCCAGGTATATCGGACCTTTCAGGGTTATAGCCCGGGTAGGTAAGGTGGCGTATCGGTTGGATCTTCCGGAAGAGCTTAGACAGATCCACAACACTTTTCATGTTTCACAGCTGCGGAAATGCATAGTCGATGATGCCGTGGTGGTTCCTTTGGAGGATATCCAGGTGGATGACAACCTGAACTACATCGAGAGACCGGTAGCCATTCTCGATAGGAAGACGAAGGATCTAAGGAACAAGAGGGTAGAGTTGGTGAAGGTGCAGTGGCAGCACCGCAAGGGCTCGGAATGGACGTGTGAGCCTGAATATGAGATGAGGGAGCACTACCCAGAGCTTTTTCCAGCTGCAACAGACTTCGAGGATGAAGTCTGAGACAAGTGGGGGAGAATTGTAACGCCTGGTTCCCGATATGTATTTAACTTATAATTATTCACTTTTATATAGAAACTCGACGAGTCGGAGGCCCCAAACTTGTCGAGTAGAGATGAATTGGACCGCGGGTTTTGGAAACCTACTCGACGAGTTGGGAGGCCTCGACTCGACGAGTAGGCTGGCGGAAATGAAACCCTAATTTTGGGGTTTTGCACCCTATTTAAACACCTTAACCCCAAGGTGTTGGCCTCATCTCCAACCTCCACTGTCCAAAACCCTAATCTCGAAACCCTAAGCCATTTTTGGTGATTGTAAGCTAATCTTGTGCATTCTTGGTGAGTTTGAAGAAGAAGAAGCTTGAAGGAGGAGCAAGAACGTGTGGGAGGAGGGTAGATCCAGAAGTTGGGCTTCATTTTTGATTCATCTGAGGTATAAAGCTTCAACCTTGTCCATGGCATGCTTAGATCTAGTCTTAGGATGCTTTCTTTCATGTTTTGGTCCAAGTTTATTGGTTATTGGAATTTGGACGTCCCTTTTGGGTAAACCCTTCAGATCTAGGGTCATGAGGGGACTTCATGGCATAAAAGTGCCAACTTTATGGACATGGAAGTCCCATGCAACCTTTGGACCGTCATTTCGGCTTTCTAAGCCCCATTAGGTCATGCATGTGGGCAAGATGGGAACTTTACGTGACTAAGTTGTCCCTTGAGTCCAGATCTATGACCTCATGGTCTATCTTGAAGTTTTGATGGCTTTTGGAGTTGGATTTAAGCCATTTTGGGTTAGGGTTGGAGTTTTATGCGTTGGGAGAGGTCCTTAATGGGTAAAGTTGGAAACTTTACCCTTCTAGACGTATTTCCAGCTTAGATCCAGAAGATAGGGCCTTGGTTTGAAGAATAGGGACTTAATGCATTAAGAAGGTTGACAGACTGAAGAACTCGACGAGTTCATAAGAGAACTGGACGAGTTGTTCTGGAAGTGTCCCGACTCTGTTGGAAAAATAGGGACTCGACAAGTTGTAGGAAAAACTCGACGAGTTGGATCGTGATATCACGATTATGTAATTTATGGAAACTCGACGAGTTGAAGAGTAACTCGGCGAGTTGAGTCAACTTGGAATGTTGACTTTGACTTTGTCCTGGGTGTTGACTTTGACTTTGATTTTGACCAAAGTTGACCCTTAAGGGGTTATGAGTATGAAAGGATACTTAAAGGAATCTTTTTATGTTTAGGAGTTTGAGTTGGGTTGATATTCTGAGCCGAGAATTTTTCAGCTACTTTCCAGTATTCGAGGTGAGTTACCTTCCTTGTATAAGTGGGTCGAAGGCACCAATGCCGGCCCACTAGTAGTTGTTTTAGTAGAGATAATTTTCTTTGTGATAATTGTCTGGTATGCCACTATCTATTGAGATTTATGTGCTTGTATGCTATGTTATTATGTGGTAGTGGTAGGGGTGAAATAGACCCCGTAACCGGTTAGAATACATCGGAGGGTAGGTCGGGCACCCAGATATGCTTGACAGGGTAGGTCGGGCACCCAAATATGCCTTACAGGATAGGCCGGACACCCAGATATGCCTGACAGTATGTGATTATGTGGTATGATGGGGGGAACTCACTAAGCTTTGTGCTTACGGTTTTCAGTTTTGGTTTCGGGTACTTCTTCTTCAAACGGAAAGGAGCCGACATGATCGCAACGCATCACACTATGATTTCCGCTTTATGAGATCTTTGAGGGTTAAAATACTGGTTTTTGTTTATGAAATGAGTTAACACTATTGATGTTTCAAACTACTGGTTTTATAACTACTTATTTAAAAATGAAATTTTTGGCTCTAAATTTTGGGATGTTACACCACTGTTGGGTTTTGATACGAAATAAAAGTTTGTTTTTCATAAAAACCGGCAACGGAAGACTTTAAAAATAACAAGTTTATTTTTAGCTCATAACAAAACCACACCATCATGGATCTATTTATAGAGGTTATAATGAATTAAAAAACAACCATATGATGTTTTAGAGATAACATATGAAGCCTTTGAACCCACTTGGTTTTGAGGTGTTGATGAAGGTAACAAAAATGAAAGTGTATGATTTCTCTACAAGTATTCACCATCAAGAGTAAGGCACTTGGAATGCTAGTTCCTTCTTGTATTCTTGAGTGTCTTAAGCCTTTAAGTGCTTAACTCAAATAAGCACTAAAGGGAACAACTCAAGAGGGCTTCTAAACACCAAAGTAAAGCATCAAAATGCATGGAGATAAAGCATATCCACACTTACGGTTTTAGAGAGAAGAAGAAGGGAAGAAAGAAGTTCAATAAGTTTGATGATATATGGTCCACAAAAAGTAATATGTAAACAAATTCAATAAGTTTGATGATATATGGTTCACAAAAAAAGGACTAAACATAAACAAAATCAAGAGTTCATTACCATCCTTAATAATTTTTCTTCAAATATACTTAAAATTGAAGGTGCCATGTGTATGTATTAATGAAACATCACACAAATGAGATGAAGGTGTATTTAAGATCAAATGGTTGACCATTTTTATGTGTACCCTTGAAATTTAGCCGGCTTAAAAGAGAAATAATTATACTAAAAATAAAATCAAAATCGGGGACAATCTGGTCTTTGCCTTCTCGGATCGAGCATGGATTATTGAAAATAATATAAAGCTATCCGGTAGGAGGGGGGTTAAAAGACATGTGAGCTCCTACGTGGCTAGCCAACCCACGCGTGAACACCGCCTCCGAGTCTCGTGGGTTGGTTGTGACGTGGTGATGAAGACGGACGAAGACGAGGAATCTAATTGGCTAATATGATTTTTGACCCTTTCCTTTTTCTTTTGTGAATGTTGGAAACAAAAATATATATATATATATATATATATATATATATATATATATATATAATTTTCAAATTAAAAACAAATCCCACAACTATAAATACCACCCTTTTTTTTATACATTTCACACTACAAACACACACAACTTCTTTCTATTTTCTCACTTTTGCTTCGACCTATGGATCCAAATCAAAATATCCAAATCAAAATACCGTATCCACCTAAAAACTCCAAATGATTCATATGCACATCTTAATTACATGCAATTGTTAATATCTTCAATCCAACAACCTCCATTCACCAATCTTCCATACCACCCAAACTACTACTAAAAACAACGACCATAAAATTCAATCAACCCCAATTTCAACATTCTCAACATCAACAATTTCAAACACAACATTCACAACCATCTCAAGTTTCATTGTCTCAATCTCAACCGATAAACTTCGACAATGCAATTTTTATGTTTTTTTAAGTAATTTAGGTTTTAAATTTAAGTTATGCAACGGGGTTTTAAGTAATGTAAAATATTTATTTATGTTTTTTATTTAATCTAGTGTCAAAAAACAGATAAATATTATAGAGTGGTAACCGTTTAGGGTTGGTGGTTTGGTAGTGAACATGCGGTGAGATAGAGATAGAGTGACACATATGTTAGATCACTTTTCTAATGGGTTAGTTGTGACCATTCCTCGTCTAAGAAGCTTATGGTATTATTTTCTAAGATTTTTTAGGATCAAGATAATCACATTTAAAGGGAATAACCAAAGAAATTCAGAAAAAAATATCTATAAATAGGGAATAACCAAAGAAATTCAGAAAAAAATATCTATAAATAGGGAATAACCAAAGAAATTCATATACAAACTACTGATAGTTACTTTTAATCAAAATTGTCTTCTTGATCACATCAAGAACACCATAACATCGCAATAATCGCGATCACAAATCAAAGCATCCCTCTTGATCACATAAACATCAATCAAATCCAAAGATCATATTTAGGCCATCAAGCTCAACCAACCAAACAATCAAATATTTTTCTCTTTTTTTTTCATAAACATTGTATCGACCTTTGGCAAATTAGGTTCACCAGATTCGATTACACAACATTAGCAGCAACCACATTCACGCACTCATAATCGATTGCTTTCAATCTTATTACAGCAGCAAACTTCTCAACATCAACCTCAAATTGAAAAATCGCAAATTTACAACTTTTCTTGATTGTTGTACAAACCATATATAAAAGGAAATAACCATAACCATAAAGGTTTATAAATATTAAATCAAATCAAGAATTGGGTTTCGATAAATACACCATGAAATTGAAACAGAAACCTGATTGATTCGGGTCGGGTCGGATCATGTCCTGAGACCATAAACCATCTTTGAGTATTTATCTTTAATCCACCTAAAGCTTTTCTTGATCGACCCTTTGACTTTTCCTTCAACAGTATAAGCTTTGTAACTAGCAACCCTTTTCTTTCGTTGCAATTCTGGATCAGTCAAGCTCCAGATTCTTGAAATCGACCCACCACTGTTTCCTTTCTTGAACTCCATACCCGTTTGATTATTGTTATATGTGTTTTCGATCTGGGTTTGTGAAGACGATGCATAAGATGCACTATGGCATCTGAAATCTTGAATGTTAGGTGGATTGTGGGTGTTGTAAGCCTCTATTTGCATCTTGTTTCCATTGTAGGATTTGGATCTAAAATCTTCCATTTTTAGGGTTTGTGTTTTTCCCTCTCTCTCTACTCTCTAGTAAGTTTGTGAATTTCTCTTTCTCTCTCTCTCTAGGGGCATGAGGATAAAGAGCAAAAGGCAGCTAAAGGACTCATCATATTGTGGAGGATTTAATGGGGAAATCCCAAATTCATGTGATTTTGTGTGGATTTAGGATATTTAATGAGGTGGATTGTAGTTCCCAATTATGAGAAACAATGGAATATTAAATATGTTTACAAAAATTTAATATGATCTATATTCTATAGTCTATACAAAATATTCTATGGTCTATACAAAGGAAAGTGTGATCTAATTATTATAATTGTGATATTTGTATTTTGAACTATAGAATAATTATAAAAAAGTCAATTAGTTATGTCACGCATGTCATATATAGTAAATTTGACCAAATCAATATAAACAATAATCGTACCTCACTTCAATTTTTAAATCGAAAATCATTAAAAAAAATCAATCTAAAGTTCCAATATGTACTAGTCAAACTTATGCACGATTTTACAAGGAGGAAGTTAGTGGTTGCATTAAATGTTCCATATTTTAGTGTTTTTCGATTATTATCTCTAGGTTCGACCAAGTTTGTTGATTCTTAAAATATACTTGTTAGTTTAGTTATGTGACAAAAGAAAAATGTATGGTAATAGTACTATTTAAAACTTTTATATCATTTTTATTTTATTTTATAATTTTCTTTAAATAAAATGATTTAAAAAATGTTATATAATAGTGATAAAATATAAAAATTAAATTGTATGTGAAGATATAGACTGAAGTCCTAATCTTTAGGACTCACGTGTATTTTTTGGTTCCTAATTGTATGCAGTTAGGTTAGGAGTCTGTTTCATTCTTCTGTGTATTTTTACCTGTAGCATTCATTCAATTCAATATATGAAAACTTCAGATCCACCTTCGTTACTCTATTATGGTATCAGAGCATTAGGATACTCATAATCCTTTTCGTTTTTTCTTTGATCGAGCATAATCCCCCATGGCAACTGCCACCAATCAGCAACTCCTCGCTGCTGCCCAAATTGCCTCCACCAATCTGAACTTTCAGATTCCACCCATTAGCATCAAGCTAGATTGTGAAAACTATTCCTTGTGGCGTACTACAATTGTTTCTGCCCTTGAATGTTTTGATCTCGATTCCTTTATTCTCAATTTGGTTCCACCTCCAGAAACTATTACTCCTACTGCCCCTGCCCTACAAGCAGCCGATGCACCGCCTGATGTTCCAGATCCATACCAACCACTACTCCCTCCAGTGACACTCTCCTTGACAATGCCATCTCCATTCCACTTCCTACTGTTCCATCTCCTAACACAGACTCCACACCAACCACTACTCCCTCTTCCACCACCTCTCATTCCTCGGACACACTAGTCACTTCATACATCCCCTCACCACCTTCCACTTCTCCTACTGATCCTCCCACACCACCTTGTCCATCTCATCCGCGCCCCACAATTAGTTCTCAGGCGAAAAGCCCAGCTCCAACATATTTCCGACCCGCTGCCAACTCAAGCCACCAAATGACTACCCGAGCTCGCACTAACTCCCTCAAACCAAAAATCTTCCTCACCGATAATGTTTCTCCACCCATTGTTGAGCCTCGCAATATTCCCTAAGCCCTTCAAAATCCTTTCTGGTTAAATGCAATGAAAAATGAATATGAAGCTTTAATGCATAATAAGACTTGGACACTTGTTCCACGTCCATCTAATGCTAATATTGTTGGTTGTAAGTGGATTTTCAGAATCAAGCGACATTCGGACGATACTATTGAACGGTACAAGGCGAGTCTCGTTGCTAAGGGATTTAGTCAAGAGGAAGGAGTTCATTTTTTTGAAACTTTTAGTCCGGTGATAAAACCCACCATTATTCGATTGTGATCTCCATTGCTCTATCCAAAAATTGGGTCATTCGCCAATTGGACATCAACAATGCCTTCTTGAATGGAGTGTTAACGGAAGAAGTATACATGGAACAACTACGTGGGTTTCAACATCCTTCTCATCCCAATGCGGTATGCAAACTTCATAAAGCCTTGTATGGGCTGAAACAAGTACCGAGAGCATGGTTCAATCAACTTAAGCAACATCTAGTTACTCATGGTTTTAGAGCATGTCACTCTAATACATCTTTGTTTGTTCATACCTCTAATGTTGTTGTCATCTATATCTTAGTTTATGTTGATGACTTAATAATTACATGCAATAATCCACACATGATACAACAACTCATCCAACATCTCAATCAAACATTTGCATTGAAGGATCTTGGTAATCTCACATATTTTCTTGGTGTCCAAATCACAAACTCAAGTCATGGACTTCAATTGTCACAACAACAATATATTTGTGATATCCTCACACGCACCAAAATGTTTGATGCAAAGCCAGTCACGACACCAGCAGATCCTTCACTACCTTTACACCTTGATGGTGACCCTTTTCAGATCCTAAGCTCTATAGGAAAATAGTTGGTTCCTTACAATATGAAACTATTACACGTCCGGACATCTCTTTTGTTTTCAATAGAGTTTGTCAATTCATGCATGCACGTACAACTCTCCATTGGTAGGCGGTAAAGCGAATTTTAAGGTACCTAAATGGAACTTTGTACCATTGTCTCCATTTTCACAATCACACAGCCTCATCTCTTTCAGCCTATTCAGACTCTGGTTGGATTTCAGACAAGGTTGACAGTCACTCACAATATGGGTTTGCTGTTTTTCATGGTCCAAACTTGATTAGTTGGACATCTAGAAAACAACGGGTAGTTGCAAGATTTACTACAGAGGCAGAATATAGAGCATTAGCCTACACAGCAGCTGAACTCTTATGGGTGCAACATCTTCTACGTGACCTCCAGGTGCCTATGACAAAACCTCCTGTAATTCTTTGTGACAATGGAGGTGCCTCCTTCATGTGCAAAAAATCCAATTATTAGCACCAGATCCAAGCACATTGCATTAGATTTTCATTTTGTAAGAGAACAAGTTGATGCCGGTACACTACAAATTGGTCGCGTTTCATCTCTTGATCATCTAGCCGATATCTTTACCAAACCTTTAGCCAAGGATCGCATCAGTACTCTACGTCACAAGCTTCAAGTTCGTCCTCCCTTGAGCTTGCAGGGGGGTAATAGTGATAAAATATAAAAATTAAATTGTATGTGAAGATATAGATTGAATTCCTAGTCTTTAGGACTCACGTGTATTTTTTGGTTCCTAATTGTATGCAGTTAGGTTAGGAGTCTGTTTTATTCAATATTGTATTTATACCTGTAACATTCATTCAATTCAATATATGAAAACTTTAGATCGACCTTCTTTACTCTATTATTATATAATTATTGAAACAGAAAATCCCTATAGCTATCACGATCATAAGAAACCACCATTACCACCACCGTTCACCACAACTGTTCAACACTCGAGGATATGCTTCGGGCATGCGTGTTGGACTTTGGAGGGAGCTGGGATACATACCTCCTACTAGCAGAGTTTTCATACAATAATAGTTATCATGCTAGTATCGACCGACCATCGTTTGAGATGTTGTATGGTCGGAGGTGTAGGACCCCTGTTTGTTGGGGTGAGGTAGGGCATCGGGTCATGGGGAGCACCGAGGTGGTGCTCAAGACAACTGAGTTGATCCAGCAGGTGCGTGACAGGCTACGAGTTGCGCAGAGCCTTCAGAAAAACGATGCTAACCGGCGCCGATTGGATCTTGAGTTTCAGGTGGGGGATTTCGTCTTGCTGAAAGTGTCACCATGGAAGGGTGTCATTAGATTCCGGAAGAGGGGCAAGCTAGGGACCCGATATATTGGACCGTTCAGGATTACTGCCCGGGTGGGCAAGGTGGCCTATCGCTTGGATCTGCCTGACAAGCTTAGACAGATACACAACACCTTCCATGTGTCCCAGCTTCGGAAGTGCATCACAGATGAGGCCGCGGTTGTTTCTCTGGACGACATTCAGGTGGACGAGAGCCTAAACCACATTGAGAGGCCCGTTGCGGTTTTGGATAGAAAGACCAAGGTTCTTCGAAACAAGGAGGTAAAGTTAGTAAATGTGCAATGGCAGCACCAGAGAGGCTCTGAATGGACATGGGAGCCGGAGGAGGAGATGCAAGAGCACTACCCGGATTGTTCGCATCAGTAGACTTCGAGGACGAAGTATAGTTCAAGTGGGGGAGATTTGTAACACTCGTTTCAGGTATCAATTTCTTTTCAGAATTTTAGGGTTTCAGACTGGAACTCGACGAGTTGGGGAGCTCCAACTCGTCGAGTAGAGATCATTATGGGACACGGGATTTAGGACCTACTCGACGAATTGGAAGGCCTAAATCTACGAGTAGGCGCTGTAAAGGAAAACCCTAAATTTTAGGGTTTGCATCCTATATAATCTCCTTAAAACCTTGAGGCTGACCTTCCATCAGCCTCCAAACCCTAAGAACGTCATTGCTAAACCCTAATCCCCATTTTCTCTCATATTGTGAGCTAGAGTGACTTTTAGAGCTTCAGAAGAAGAAGATAGTGAGAAGAAGGAGGAGATCTAGCAAACAAATCCTTCACTCTTGAGCTTGACCATCTTGTGGACTATTGTAAGCATTCAAGATTCGATTTTTATCTTAGAATATGACTAGATCTTGAGTTTACTCTTCATTTCCCATCATTCTTGTTGATTGCATGCATGGGGTTCATAAAGTTTGCAACTTTATGAATCTCCAGGGAAAAAGGTCCCATGGTGGGCTAGATCTAGCTTTTGGTCAAGCATGGATGCCATGTATGGATTTTAGAGTATAATTTCCCTTTTTGGCCATTTTGACTTTAAGACATGCATGTCCATAAAGCCTCCATCTTTGGAACATTTTGAGGATTAGAACCTCTTCTGGAATGGAGGGATTCCAGATCCCTAGGGTCTTGAACCACATGGCTAAGCTTTTGAGCTTTCCAACCTTTGTTAAGGGCT